AGTATGGAGCAGCTAGCCTTCCTTGCATCAGGTTTAACACTGTATTTGCAATATCCCTACCCTGCTGTAACTTCACCTCCATTCCATAGTTTACAGCAACAGCTCTGTGAACTCAGTTTGACCTACACAGATTGAAACTTTCTGGAGTGCAACTAATTCCCATACAAGTCCAGGTTTATGCTGTGAATCCTTCATTCCCCACAACTGCATGTATGTTTCCATCGTAATTTCTTCCATGTTTGGGCACATACTTCTCTAAGTATCAACTGTGAATTTCAGTTCTTCGCCTGCTTCTCCTTCATTAAAGTAACAGCAGCCTCACATACAGTAATTTAAAAAGCAATCGTACATCATTTGCATTACTAAGTGTATTGCAACACTCCCTTACTTCTACAGGGAACATTTTTCAATACTCAAACAGTGCCTATTCCAAGTGCCATATATCACATCCTGGTTTCTTATACTCATAGCACACTTGTGGAAGCAAAGAGAGAATGATCTTCAATTTAGTAACCTAATTCTTCCTCAATACATATTTTTGGCTGGAATGCAGTTGCCAACCAAATTCAGCAGAACTTGGATTATGCTAAGCAAAGTTGGACAGGATAGAGAGAAGAACAGAAAACACTTTGGGAGAAGAATTGGATACTCTGGTGAGCATTGTTCACTTGAGCTGTGTAATCAAAGATCTCCTTGTCCTTCTGTCTACTTTCCCAGGCATCTCTACTTCTTGCTGATGGCAATACATGCACAGCAAAGTATGGTTTGTCAACAGAAAATACTATGCAGAGACTTGTCAACTGCTCTACAGCAACCAAAAGTAGCTGCTCTCAAGTTTAACTTCGTATTAAGAGTTTACATGGAGTACCCTTCATTAAAAACTTACTTAAAGTATGTTTGTACTTACTGCAAGTAACATCACACAAAAGCAGTACAGGCAGGTTATTGCTTTGTAACACATCATCTTTTGCTTTGCCATGCATTTCTGTAGGCCAGGACTGCATTAATGCAGTTTTGCTTTTGATAGAAGATCTGCGCTCTGCTTACCTACCAAAGGAGGTATTAAGCATTCATCAACAGAAGATCTCGTAAAAGGTTGCCTCTTATCTTACTTGACTTCCAATAACTTAACATTTAGGGCAGATAAACAGTTTCATGTAATGCTGTAACTGATCAGAAACCACTAAGGCACTACAAAAACAAACTGAGCAAATAGTACACTAGCATTCATTTCCAGAAGCAAGAAATGCCATCTTAGTTATGCTTACTTTAGCAATTAAATGGATTTCTAAAGCATACTGTCACAAGAAACACATGTACAACAATTCCCAGTCCGCATGTTTTTAGACTAAGCTTGTTAAATGGGAATAACCACATGTTGTCTTTCTTCTTTTCATCTCTCTTCCAGTCCAATAAAGTATTTCAGGATAAAATCACAATATTACATAATATTTGCATAATGCCATTTCAGTATTAACTGAATATTATATATATATATATATATATATATATATATATATATATATATATAACTGAATATATATATAGTACTAACTAGGGACATTGTTACTACCTCAATTAGTAACATTACAACATGCAAAGGTTATACCTGAATAAATGCAGCTTAAAGTTAGATGAGTTCATTAGCTTTTTTGTTCACCTGACCTCTAGAGATTCACATTTTTAGTACTGCCATAGCATTCAATTTTTAAAGTATGCCTTTTTACAGGAATACACAAATTCCCTAGTTTTAATTCTCTTAAAATACCCTCAGCAGTCAAAGGCTGAGATAAGTTCACCTGTATATTTATGCTTGAATACCACTTAAAAAAAAAAAAAAAACAATCATCCATCTTCTAAACCACACATCTAGACCCTATAAAATGTCCTTTTTTCCCCCCTAAAATTCAAAGTGTTAATCAGTTGTTCATGATCCATTTGAGATGCACTGAAGCTTAAGAGAGACATCCTCAAAACAAAGCACACCTCCCATGCTTTGCTCTTCCCTGCTCATACAAGCATGTACTCTCAACACAACCTCCAAATGAAAAAAGGTTACAGTATAAATGATGTTGCTGTACACTACGCTATACTTTAGCTAATGAACCCAGATATAGTGCAGGCAAGGAGCTTGCAGAACATGATACAAGAAAAGCTTGGCAGAGGTCAGCCTTCTGTTGCAGAATAAGTTGCTCTTCCACTCTACACTGGCATAAGCTAGACTTAGTCACACACAGACACCAGTGATAAGCACAGCAGCTATTTAAAGCATAGGGTAGAGAGAAGAAAATTCCTTAAACCTTAAAAAAAAAAAAAAAAAAAACCTTAAACACTTGAAAAAAAAAAAAAAACTCTGTATCTGCCCTCCTCTTCAGAAATTTGTCTTTTCTGTCTCAGTTGATCACAAATACACACGTTTCTGCAGGGGCAAGTAAGCATCTCCCCATGCAACATGTCATTTCTTGATAAGTTGAATCAGATCAAGCTAGATGTTTAGGTCAGGTAACATTACTGAATGCATTCAACACAACATTCTTGCTAGTTGCACCAACTCTTCACTTCCATAACCAACACTGATTGAACTTTATTTTTTTCCTACAAGTTGTAGGAGCACAGCCCACGGCCAAAAAAAAAAAAAAAAGCTATAAGGCTGAATGTATGCATAAGTCAGCTTAAGTCAGGATGAAGCCTTCCTTTACCCTTAAGACAATTTTCTGATTAAACTGCGTAAAGCACTCCACTTATTGAAAAACACCGCAGTGTGGCCTAAGAGCAATGCATCAAGCATCCTCCCTGACAACAGCAAAATGCTTCAGATGGGGATGCAACAATTTCAAAGCAGACATGTGTAACCCCATTAAAAAAAAGAGACAAGCCACATCCTTATCTCCAATAAAAAGAATTAATTAAAGCCCCCAAAACAAGCAAACCTATCAAGTTCAGATAACCTTATCCGCTTTCACATAGTTGATCCTTCTTGGACTCGTATTAATTGTTTTGGATGCATTTCTACTTAGCACATGTCTAAGAAGAAAGAAAGAAAAAACCATAGAGAAACACTTTGTCTAAGAAAGAGAGGGAACAAGAATGCCACCTGCTGGAAACAACATGAAGCAAGCTTGGAAACATTCCACAGTGAGGTGGAAAAACACACGCTTTTAGTCTGCTCTAGTCTTCAGTTCATATTTAAGAATGCTGGGGAAAAAAAAAGTAGATACAATAACAAGTCAAAGTAACTGCCACACTGTAGTTAAAGTCAGCACAACAGCAGGATTATGCTAGAAGCATAATGATTACTACCTGTTGCAAAAAAAAAGTTTCGGTTTTACCATACCAACTAGATCCAAAGAACATCAAGTTAACTACATTTGAAGGCTCAACTTCGCAACATATAAGAGCTCAATTCTCACCAAGAGGATAATTAATTAGTTGGCAACCTAGCACATCAGACTGTGCTATTCCTAACAAAGTTGTTTCAGTTAAGAAGTCTTCGCTTTCAAGATTTTCCACCAAATCTAAGTGGTATTCATAGATATTAAGAGTCAGAGGAACAAGTTAAGCTAGTGAATACCTAAAAGGGACTCCACAGCCTTTCTCCCCCAGTTCTGCAAACAATGGCAGCACGGGGAGCTTCTACCTACAGGGGCCACTGCACCTCCACAATAGCTAACCAAGCACATGGCCCTCACCTCTTAACGACTCACTGCTCCTCTCATGTGCTTTCCATCCCCATACAGAAACACCATAAATTCTCATAAAGCATCAGTCAGCATTTTTAGGTAAAGTCTCAACATGAAGCATAGCACATGAGTATTCTTATGAGTTACCTGTACCGAAGGATCTATTATTGTTGTGAAGCCTTCTCAACTTCAAGCCCGTTCACTTACCCCAAGCAGTTATCTGCAAGGGCTGTCAAAAGAGCTTTTCTAACTTTATGGCAGACAACAAATTGATGCATAACTTTTGGATCTTCACTCAGGTTTCACCCAAAAGTAGTTTAATATATGACAGTTAGAGAAAGGTCAGGTTGGGTTTTAGGAAAAGGTTCTTTACCAGAGGTGGTCAGACACTAGATGAGGCTCCCTAGGGCAGTGGTTACAGCACCAAGCTGCTAGAGTTCAAAGAGCATTTGAACAACGCTCTAAAAATAAGGTTTCACTTTTAGGTGCTCCTGGGTAAAGCCAGGAGGTGGATTCTATGATCCTTGTGAATCCCTTCCAACTCAGGATAGGATATGATTCTAGGATCCTAGGATCTAGGATTCTAGATGCAGTATCTGTTCCCTGCATATTACAAGCACAAACTGGATTCCCTCAGAAGCATAATCAGTTACATATGGACTAAATGTTAACTCGAAAAATGTTGCACAATCACTCTTCTCACATAAGATATCCCACTTTTTTCTGGGTGAAAACAAAAAAAGATATCAACTACTACAGTATGTCACAAAGACTATCCTGCATTCAGAAGCAGGAGGTAGCTTCAGAGTGCCTAATGAAGCAGCAATTCTCTGCATATCACTTCAGTATCTATATTTCATGAAAACAAAGTCGGATACCACAAGCACCAAGAAGATGCAACTCCCACCAACCTAAGAGCAAATTCATCCCTGATTCCGCAGAAAACAGGACAGTAAACTAAAACATAGCTTCCTTCTCTTCGCAACTTATACAGCAGCTTCCCACAAGGAACTGCATTAGTTTCTCTGTGTGGGACTGAGCCTTAAGTACAGAAGTATTGAACATTCCGCAATTTCCACAAAGTAGAAAACCCAGCACTATGGATACAACGTGTGCTGGTCTTTCAGCTCTAACTGTGGAAATTGGGTGGTGATAACTCAGAGTTCGTAGAACAAAAATCAGACTAAGAATAATCGCGTGCAAAGAAAACACTAGATGGAAATTAGGAAGCTTGCAGCTACCAACAGAAAGCCTAAGAGCCTAAGACATCTTCAGTTTTGACAACAAACTCCTGTTTCTGACAATTTCTTGTCACACAGATTTTTAAAAATCAGAGTCACAGATTTATTTTTTTTCTTTTCACAGAATATGATTTGAACAACACCATCTGGTTTTCAAACTTGATCAGACGCACAAGGAAAGGCATCAGGTACTAACAGACTCTTGGACAGATTTTTCTTCATCATCTTCTGTAGTTTCTTCTTCTTTTTCTTCTACTTTCTCTGCTTCAGGGAGAAGTCCATCAAGGTTCAATAGTAAACCCTCACTGGTTGAAGATCTAATAACCAGCTTCTTCACAAAAGGACCTAAGAAAACAAAGAATACCAGCTATTCAGTTACTCCACCAACATTCATGTCTCCCTACTGATTTATCTTAATACTAATCCAGATTCTGTCAGTGTATGACCTGAAGCAGAACCATACAAGAAGATCAAAATACTGAGATAAAATAAGTGATGGTAGATAAATTAACAACACATTCTTCCCACATAAAGCAAACATAGCATTCTCTATGGTAAACCCCATATCTTCATTCTGTCAATACCATCTCTACAAAGCTTGGCTTCCAAGTGTTTACAACTCCTTACAACAATGAAGCCCTCTTCCCAACAATCTAATTCTAGCCAAAATGATCACATGGGCACAAATGTAGGCTCCAAAACACATTACAATTGGTTTTCCTCTATTTGCAGCTTCATGAAAATTAACTAGGCACTTGCTGATCACAGAAATACTCATACATGACAGAGGGAATAAAAGAAACCTATATTATTTCAGGATCCTACCACCAAACATTGAATGAGTCTTTTGAGAAGAGCAACCACAGAAATAGTCCAGTTTCTTAGTGGAAGTGTATCCACATATACTCCAAGAACATACGCCTGGTAGCATTTTGAGTCTCCCAATAGATTAAGTGATTTGCAGAGGAATGCTGTTTTAGTGCTAACTGCACAGCTGCATGAAAACATGCACATATGGATCATCTGAAAGAATCAGGACCTGGTAGCTAAGTGATTGATAGTTAGCAAGCCTATGTAGATTCTGCTGTTGTAAAGATACTTTAAGGAACATGTCTGCATCCTACACACTGCAAATATTTTTTAAACCAGTAAGAACAATCAAACAAAGGCCCACACCATAAGCCAGATACGACAAAGGAGGCAAAACACTATGAAAATAGCTCACCCTTAGTTAACTAAGTTGGTGTAGTCCATGAATAAACCCCATTAATTGAAAGTGCAGCATGCCTTCAGGCAGGTAGCTAGCATCAGAGTAATGTCAACTGAAGCACCTCTTTAGTAACTGAAGGTGGATTCTGTGATTCTGAGTTCAAATTCTTTGTGCTGAGCTCCAGAAAGGTCATGCCAGTGGGCAAAACCAATCCACACAGACTCTGAAGGCCTTTATGACTTAAGCAGATTCACTGTATGGCTATAAGCTATTTACAAATCAACCTTAAAACTTAGTTTTGTGCATCATCACACAGTTCTGTAGCACAATAAGAGCTGACATCACAAGTGCACACGCTATCAGTGCCCTCAGGGGCTGTCCAGTTCGTAAGTTATGATTCACTGAGTTACCCAATAGCTCCCTTCTCCCATCTGAAACAGACAAAGCAGTGAGGTCACTAATTATATCCTAATTAACATTTGCTTCTTCATTTTGATTCAACAGCTTCAACTAATAGATCAAAAGAATAGCTGCTTACCAGCACTTGATGGCTTGAACTTGCAGATATCCTCAATAATTGTTTTCAAATTGGCAACGATCTGCTCAGTAGGCATATCCAGCTGAAAAACAATAATGCAGAATTGACCATGATGCTCTCAAAGCCTACACAGATATATCTGAAGGTGCTGGATATATATATGATTTCTGTATTTGGATAAATATATATTTTTTTCCACTGGGAACATCAAGCTATTTCCCTACGATATCAAGCTAATTGGGTCCAGAGGAGGGCCAAAGATGATCAGAGGGCTGGAGCACCTCCCCTATGAAGACAGGCTGAGGAAGCTGAGGCTTTTCAGCCTGGGGAAGAAAATGCTCCATGGGAACCTTCCAGCAGCCTTCCAGTACCTGAAGGGGGGCCTGGAGAGGGGCTTATTTTTTTTTTCTTTTTTAAATGTATGAAGCAGCAGGATGAGGGAATATGGTTTTAAACTAGAAGAGGTAGAGTTAAGCTAGATATTAGGATGATGATTTTTACTGTGAGAGCTGTGAGACACTGGAATAGGTTTCCCACTGAGGCTGTGGATGCCTCCTTACTGGAGGCATTCAAGGCCAGGCTGGATGGGGCCGTGAGCAACCTGGTCTATGGGAGGTTTCCCTGCGTATAGCAGGGGGTTGGAAGTAGATGATCTTCAACATCCCTTCCAACCCAAACCATTCTGTGACTCTGTATTCCTGTTAAAGAGCTAGACATCCCATTAACAGCTCAGAAGTATTTTATAAGGTTGTATGCTCTTGATTATTTCCCATCTTTCTACACGCGACATTCAAGAACTACACTTCCACTGTTCCATACACATGTAGCCTTACAAATATTCTAAAAGCAACGTATATAAGCACTTGTTCAAAATCACAAGGAAATTCGATATTTGAAGAAGTAAGCATCAACAAATACAAGTCTAAATACAAAACAGATCAACTCCAAAAAAAAAAAAAAAAAACCAAAACAAAAGCTCTTTAAATTGAAGGCATTAAGATACACAACTGAAAGAACACAAAAGAACACAAAAGAAATCTTAAACAACAACACAAAAACTTGGAGCTCTACTTCATTTTTACTTTCCCATTTCAACATACTACAACTTGCAGCATGTGTATTGAGCACAAAGCACAGACCAGTTTCCAACTACCCTTTTTATACACTTCAGTTTCCATCTGTAGCTTTTTTGATCTTCCAAACAAAACCATGGACTGATGGCTCCTCATTCTGCACAGTATCCGTAAGTAACAAAGGACTTACACAGTGCTTCAGCTACATAAGCAGACCTCACTGGATTGATCATAAGTATTTAGGAGTGAACCAGCCTCACTGCCAAAAAAGTATTGCTTCCTCAGATATTGAGCACTTCAAACCACAACTTCTATGGACACTCCTTAACAATGAGTAATTCACAAGGAAGAGACAAACCCTAACATCCTGGTTTCGATTAAATCCAGGGCCACAGCTCTTGGAAAGCTTGGAATACACATTTCCCAGACTTAATCTTCTGGAAGCATAATATCCTGCATTGTCATTTAGTCTGCCCCCTGGTTTCACCATACAATCCAGAAATCTTCACTTGTATGAATGTCAGTATTTTTTTTTCATAGAAATTTCAGAAATTTAAGATAAAATAGCATTTTTCTTACAGAATTAACTCCACTTCAGTGGACTGTACAGTAGTCACTGGGGTCCCATCTTTCTGTCCAACTCCTCTCCCAGTGCAGCATAAGCAGACCTTATTAACATCTCACTTATCCATAAACGTATTCATTGCAATAGAAATGCTGTTAAGCTTCAGTAGTCTCCTCCCAGATTTGGTCCATTGATCTCCTTTTATGCACTTCTGGCAATCTTCTAATCCAAACACCATTCCTCTGCTACACAGACCAGTAGTCATTCATTTTTATTACTGCTATGCTGATTGCAAAGCATGATGATAAACCTGTCATAAATTAACAGATGTAGAAATTTGTTTGCTAATGCTGAGCATTTCAATTCACTGACAGACTGATCACGCTTTAAGGAATTAAAAATAAAAGAATGCTTGGAACAATCTAAACAATTTAACACTAATAGCTGATTAGAAACTATACTTCAAATTTAGATTGGAATATTATTTGCTTCCATATCTTGCACTGTATTCATGTCTCAAGTAAGCCTTCACTTGTACAGCTTGATTAATGTTAAGTTGCTTATCTGTAACCAAGTCTAGAACTCAAAAGAAACAGTTTGAGAGAAGGCAATTACCTCAAAACAGAGATATCTGCTAACATCCCATATTTGATACTATTAGAAAACAGGGCAAAGCAAGTTAGATTCCATCAGATAACATGACACATCCCAACAGCCTGTGTGCCATAATTTTCTTGAGATGTCAATGGCACCATAATGAAGACATGTAATTCCCAAAGGGTTCTGAATATTTCTAAGTAGTTTCCACATCCACACAGTAAGTATCTCATAGTAACTCGTGGTGTGTGCACAGTCACTATGTTTCAGCACTTAAATATTTAGGTTAATTTTAAGCTTACTAAGCTGACAAAAGCACTCCAGACCAGACCTAAAGCTGTGCAAGCTGCACAGCAGATAGATTCAGTAGGAATTGGTCAGTATCTTTAGGTCTTGAGTCACACTGACAAATAAGAAAGTTTACAAAAGGAACAACTATTCATTTAATTCTAGTCCATTTTGTGTAAAACAACCACAAAGTAGCTTAGAAAACCGATAGTATGTACTACAACTAGAACACAAAACTGAAGTTCTTCCCAGCTTACTCCTTCAAATTTAGGACATCACTCTCTAGAGTAGCACTAGGTGCTGTAAGGAGGGTCAGGAAAGTTCATGCTTCCTTATTTGTACGAAACATGCTTCTTCAAAAGGGTCTCTCACTACCTCTGCTGAGGCTTCATAAACAGAGTTTTAAACATCACCATTTCAGGAATCTTTAGAGGTAGGCAACTGAATACACAGAAAAGGCACTTGCCTACTTGCTGGCTACATCTGCAAATGAAGAACTAGAAGATGCCCTACTATTAAAACAATAAATTGAGCTTTTTCTGAACTGCGCACAGGAAGTTGTGTCAGGAGATTGGTCATGGCAGTGCATCTGCACTACTGATGTAACTACTGTGTGTGTTACATGTAACACACACAGAGGAAACGCCAGCCGTGGCAGAGCAGGAAAACCTGGAGAAGGCAGCGTGAGAGCCTTTTCTTCTCCCTCCTCTGCTCATCTACCAGTCGCTTTCAGTTCAGACAACAGTAATTTGACAGCACATTCAAGAAATATAAAGGAGCTATAAAGCTTGAGCCTCCACCTTACTCTCGCACTCTCTTCCAGCATATAAAGAATATATGCAGTAACATAATATTCCTAAAATACTGCCATCCCAAGAGCCTTATACAGCAAGGCACATCAGTCCCCCCTCCACTCCCAGAACCAATTACGCACTTGCGAGGAAGCCAGAGCACGCATTAGCACTGATCCACCAACACATTTTTCAGCCTCTTCCTTCACTTCCTCAGCCTCTTTCCCACCTCAAGCCAGCCATAGGACTGAGGCTCCTACATTAAATGCTGCAACAACTCAGAAATTACAGCTTCAGCACCTGCACTCAGAACTCAAGTTCCACTTACTAAAAAAGTCTTACAGGACAATGCAGTCAATAATTATCTGTTTCAAAACTGGAACTGGAATTTTTATAGCTTTATCTCATGGCAATTAAGAGACCTGGGCTGGCTAGTAGTCATTTAACCAGAAAGCTGAATCAGTTCTCAAAGCACTTGAACCGAGCTTAAAGCTGCAGTATCTGAGGGGAAATTAAAAAAAAAAAAAAAAGTACCCCCAAATCCCCTAATACAACCCTTCTAAGAGAACTAACAAGAATAGAAAACCCATCAAGAACAGCATTTCAAGTCTGCCTTCTTCACCTGCAAGATGCAGAATTCCAATCCCCTATAATAAATAAAAATTTATTGCAATCCACTGCAAAACAAGAAATAAGCTCACAGAGAAACATGAGTTCGTAGTTCTGAATTCCCTTTGTCTCCTAATGCTAGTAAGAAATGAACAGCAATGCATTTCACCTTTCAGTTCATATGAATGCTGAGACATTTCAGGAGCACAGTAAGGTGTCAAGTAACTAACAAGGGTACTGTGACTGGCATCCTGTAATAACACATGATCTCTGCACTATTCAAGTAAAACCACTTTTTCTCCTACTCCAAGAGAAACACTTGGTTTGGCTGAACTCCAGGAACTGGTCCTCAGAGGCTTCTATAGAAAAATGTTAATAAAACCTCTTTAATACAGGTTTAGAGCTACTCCTAACAAATTTCATTTTGAGTTGGACCAGCATAACAAAACAACTGCATTTCATCATCATTCAGAGAGTCGAATGTCTTTCATTACATAGCGAGGGCAGAAACCAGAGCTTCTCTTCTTTTGAGAACAGAAGAAAGCCCCCAAACCAATAGCTAAGTGCTGACACACATGGCAGATGAATGTTCCTGTGAGAACATCTGGAGGACAGCCAGTATCAGTTAGAGAAGAGCACTGACCTATTTTGTGCTGTCTTGCTCTCCACAGGCTTCTGCTCAGTTGTGAATCTTCCTGAGAAAGTCAGCAAGTAGTAGGGGAAAAAGCAAAAGAAAAGAAAAATCCCAAACCAGAACAGAGCTCTCAGTAGGAATCTAAACTAACACAGACCCTGTAGATCCAGTCTTCTCCTCCTGGTGCTGAAGTGGAATGCATTTCAGAGGTAGTAGCTGTAATACTGCTGCTTCAGAAATAATAGTAGGAAAGGCAGAAATGCAGTCTAGAACAATCTTTATTGTGGCTGTGCCCTTGGTACTCACAGTTGTAAAGTACTATTCCCTAGTTCTAATTTAGCTTGCTACAATTTCTACCACACCTCCAATTCCTCGTTTTGTTCCAAATTCAAGCTGTTTGCCAGTAATTGATGACTAGGAAAACAACATTCTCAGGACTGTGGAAACCATTAGGATCTGCACAAGACTGTCAACTCTCACTAGATAGACAGACTCACAAGGTAGATAACAGAAGGCTGAATGGTCCTAACACCCTGGACCTACCCAAAGCTGGATTTGCTCAGAAACAGTTCCTTCAACATCCTACCTCTAGTGCAGACTGGCATTTCTGTTCCCCATCTTAATGTAGACTTCCACTCACTTGTATATCCCACATACCAGACATCTGATTGTCTCATCTCTATACTTCTAACCCCACAAATAAAATAGTGCTTCTGTACAAACCATCCATTCACAAAAGGTATACAATATGCTTCCAAACACAAAAAAACAAAATTCTCACCTCTCAGAATCATCTTGCTCTGTTTCACAGAAGAACCATTCCCTAGGCAGCTCTCTGCTCAGACAAGAAAACAAACTAGAAACTTCTTTCCAGTGTCACGTTTATTTGCATTCTGATTTTCCTAAGCAACTCCAACTTGGGAGAAAAGAAAATTGTAGCACTCTAAGTTCTAAAACAGTGCCAAAATCCTCAACAAAAATGACTTTAATCTGTCCTCTTCAGATAGCATGATTTTGAAAGGGATATCTTCAGCATTCTCACTTTGCCTCCCTTCTGCTTTAAGCTCCGTGTCTCAAAAGAACATTTTATATTCTCGGTTTCACAACTCCAGATCTACTAATTAAATCTAAATCTACTGCCAACTCCCAGGCTTCTCAAAGACATCTCAATTACTTACTAAATAAGAAAACACCATTAAGGCTGTTGACTTATGTGGGAGTACAGCACAACTTCAAGCTATTGGCCGTAATTGAACTAACAGGCAACATAAGACAGCAGCACTAAAGGGAAAACATGTCTTTGAGAAATGCCAGCTTGGCAGAGTCCCAGAAACATCTATACTACCACCTGGAAAACAGCAATATATCTTCACGTCTCTGTGTAATTCACAAATGATTATTTTCCTCACTGGCAAGGTTTAAATGTAAAGAGCTCTAGATTTAGTAGTAAGCAGACATGCGTAACCACTCAAAGCTCCCACAGCCTTGCCTAGAGCAGATTGCTTCCCAGCGCCGCTGCACAACAGCACAACTAGGTCAGGCAAAGGAGAGCAGCTACAGAGGGTGGAGACACTTGATGCAAGCTGTAGCCACAGACATACTTCTGCATACAGCTCTCTGAACGCGTCACATGTGCTGTGCTGGAGTCACCTCTACCACGTAGCTGAAAGTATCTTGCCACAGCTGAACTGTGCACACGTAAATCCCCATCATACTGCTTTCAAACCAAGATTAAGAGCTCATTCACAAGACCCTGCTATTTACTAATTAAAAATTAAAAAATAAAAAATGACATCTCAGGCTGTACCCAGAACATAAGCTGCCTTGCAGCACCAGCATCTTATATCAGTAACACAACGCAGCTTAAGACTCAGACACTCTAACCACAGCAGTAAGAAGGTATGCTAAGTAAAACCAACTGCAATAGCTTCAAATGCTATCAAACCATCTGAGTTCTTCAATCACTTCCATTCAATCCTGTGGGTTTTTAACCCCTTATAAATAAATGAATAGAAAAAATAAAAGAACCTTAATATGCAGATATTTTAAAGACTGATCCACAATACAAGATGAAGAAAGTCAAAGGACTAAAATTTAGTCCAAAGCAAAAACAACATGAAACATGGTCAAAATGCTAGAAACAAAGACATCCATGGATTCGTGATGTTTCACATAGTCACTTAGACTTGTAATACAGATAAAGATGCAAACTGTATGTATGAAAATGTAATGCATCCCATATTTTAGGAGAACCTTCCTGAAAACCTCAGTTTTGAGTACTGTATATAAGAACAGGTTCTTTAAATTCACATGCACAACTCACAGGCGCCAGCCAAAATTAACAGGCTTGCTTATCTCTACCACCACCAGACAAAACTGCAGAGATTAGAAGTCTCATAAACTTCCTTTCCACACCACTATCAGTTAATGGAAAGTTAAATATAGGTAGGATTACAAACAGACATAACAGAATGGAAGCAAAACAATTCAGAAGAGAAAAAAGAACGCTTAGGGAAAAGGACTAAAAGCCTCTAAGAGAAGAAAAAATACTTTTCTAGAACTCAGTTTTCTATGGGGCAGTAGTTAAAGTACAGATTAATTTTATGGTATTTAATGTGTGGTGCAATCAGCTTTTTTTTCTGCCCTGAACTAGGATCAAAGATTTTAAAATGAAACTAGGTCTGAAAATTTCAAAATAAAAACAGTCCTTAATTATTACGGTTAAGTGAATACTTCCTGTTCCCCTTGTGCATACTCTACAGACTTATAACCCAAAAATCATTAACTACATTAATAAAACTTTGTTTTCTTCACATAGAGGCGTTGAGATTGGGGAAGTATGCATTAAAAGCAGAAACACTACAGGGATTGCTAGGAATAGGGCACATTTTGTATTCGAGTTGCATCTTATTTTGTTCATTATTACAATTCACTGCCAATAGAACAGCAATCATAGATCTCATCCTCAGCACCCTTAACTTCTAAGCATTAGATATGTATCTCAGTCTAAGTGGAGCCATCTTCCACCACTGTACTTTAATGACATACAGTGCTCACATCAGCTCAAGACACTACACAAAACAGACTGAAGTTTCATTTACTTCATGGGTCATTAAAACAATACTTAATCTGGGAATGCACAGGGCAAACACTTTTCTTCTCTGTTTCAGCACTAACTTCAGCTCTACTCAGCAGGACAGTCAAGAACTCTCCATTACCACTTACTCTTGCTATCCTTGTCTTGATTAGATGCTCATCTTGTACCTTGTACTCAAGACCTTCTCTGAAGAACTGTACCATTTTGGGAATATCATGGCCCAGGGAATCTAATAAAAAAACAAAAAGACAACAAAGAAGTTAATACTTACTAGGAGAACAGAACATACTATTAGAAAAGGGAGAATTCAGTGTTTCACCTTGAAGCAACTAAGCACCAAACAAAAATGCTGTTTCCATGTTTTCTATTTATATCTCCTTCCATATTCCCTCCTCCTTCATTATCAGCAGATCTTCACAGATGATATAAGTAAAATAATTAAATATGTAACTCAGATCTCACTTCAAATAAAAAAAAACTTGTGAAAAGCATACACACATAGTCTTTGTTACCTAGTATAATTATTTGGAAGACTGGGATCTACTAAGTTAAACTCAGAACCATCTTCAAGCATCTGCCTTGGAAACAAACAGTACACAACTGTGTAATAGCAAGATTACACTCTACCTGAAACACTCTGGCCCAGTGCAGCCATTGCACAAGTAAAGACAGCTGGTTTTGTTATCTCAGCTGCAGGAGCTTATTTGACAGATTTACAACATCACTCAATTGCTTCAACTGCAAGTATTATTTCTCCCACATGTCTTCGGATGGCTCCAAGATAAATCAGCCATCAGGAACAAACAAACTAAGCAAGTTTGTAATGAAATAACACAGCTTTCACTTTTACAGAAACATCTGGAGTATTCTGTTGTAATGCTTTGGACAGGCTAATACATTTGCTGCAAACATTCAGGAGGCAAAGACCACTGCCTGCAGCTTGTGAAAACATCGTTAGGACAGCTGGGAGAAGGTAAGTGAGAATGTGAGTCAAGATTTACTGCTTTAAGAAGCTGACACATCTGTGTAACAAACAGAGCTCTAAAACACATCTAAAATGAGTAAGGGAGATAAAAAAAATATTGAGACTGATATTTGATGCTTAGAGAATCTGACCTGAATAGAAAGTTTCTTGTGCATAATAAAAAGGGAATGACATGCAGATAAGTGAACAAGTTACAATAACAAGAAGCATGAAGAACATTGTTATTCAGAAGCACTAACACAATGAGCAGTGATGAAGATGGGATCCAACAACTGTTAAACAACATAACTACCTCAGTGAACACGGTTAACAAGCTGCTTCTATTCTCTTAGGTTTGCCACACAAAGTTCCCAGTACTATTACAGCTGATCATATATAGAATGACACGGACAACTAGCTGACAAACCAGCATCGATTGTAATCCCAACATTTGTGTTGTAGGAGAAAGGGGGAAAGGCACAGCACTAGCTTCCTAAAGCAACTCTCATAAGACAGAACATGTGGCTCAGTCACAGCAGCAAAATACTTAATGCAATTCCATGCCCTCAACAAAAAAGGTCACCTCAAGAGTTAAATCTTGTTCCAGTACTTAGGTTTATAAAATAGATTTGCTTCTTACTTCTTTTTGTGCTGGGGTATTTTTGTTTTAGCTTGCTCCTTAACGGTATCAGTTTAGGCATTATTGCAGGAACAGCTATGTAGAAATCCACTTGAATTTCTTCTTCCAAAATCTACATTAAGACAAATGCAAATATATTTAGGAATACAATTAATTACCCAAGTACACAAGTTCAATCTACCAATGTGCCAGAACATACAAAGCAGTATTTCACTGTTCATATTGGCTGCTAACTTCCAGCTAGATCTCTGGACATGCAGTTTCCCCATCAGTCACTACAGCAAATTAAAACATTTCATTTACTTAATTAAAAATAAATACCCATTTGATTAATTCAATGCCTCCTACAACAGCAGCTCCATTCTCTCGAGCTATTTCAGCTTCTTGCTCATTCTGTTGGAAGGAAAAAAAAACGTGTATTAACATCAGTACACCTGATTGCTCTGTATCAACAGCAAAGGAATGTCTTAAAACTAATCAAAGACCCAAAATATCCCACACTGGAAATTTAACACTGGAGCAGCAACTCTAGCTTACTCCACTCAATTCCAGTCCCAGTAAGAAGCAACAGGCAAGTCTTCAGTTCTCTTCTGGTGAAGCATGAGAAAAAAAAAGTCATCCCACTTGGAAAAAGCTCCATCACAATCCCTTTCTCTTGTATCACCATCTTCTGAAAGTCACAGACAACCACCCACTACATGGAGACAACATTTACTAAATACTACAAGAAGAGCATGGAGAATGCTACTTAAAACCACTACAAAATAAGGCTATTTATCTCTGCTATTAATATTTTGCTTCAAATAGCACTTAGAATATAACTTCATTTTTCTTTCATGAGACTTAGCTGTTAAAATACTCTGAAATATTGAACAGTAGCAGGAAACAGTTTTTGGCTCAAGCTTTTGGAAAAGGTAAATATTCCTGACCAAAAGTCAAGACAAGGTTTCCCTCACAAGAAAGAGCTGACTAGCTTCACCCTTACACATGAAAGTGGTGGCATGTGACTGGAGTCCCTCAATCTTCTTCCACATTCACATCTTTGGAAGACATGGGGTCTCCTATCCTGACTGAATTTAAGGTTGAGAGAAGGTTTCAAGACACTGCAACACAGAACCTAGCATACTTGTCAGGCCTCCACAGTAGGAAGATTCTCACCTTGAAGCTTTTGTAGAAAATCTATCAAAAGTCAGTTCAAAGGGTCATAAATTCAGTTCAAGGCACTTGTCCAGGATAATCTCATAGTGATTATACATAACCATTCTGTTAGAAAAATTAACAGGCAAAGGACAACATCAGAGAGCCTGCACTAGCCTCATTCAGATAGGACAGTGACTGCACACACCATATCACACTAGTCAACTCCTACAACAGAGGATAAAGGATTTGTGGGGAAGGTTGTTGTGTTAATTTCATTGGTTGCTTGCTTTGGATTGTTTGGGCTTGGTTTTTTTTTTTTTTGTTTGTTTGTTTGTTTTTTTGAGAAGTTACTCCTTACCGCTATCACATAACTGCATTCTGTTACAGTACAAGCTATGGTGATAACAAACACTTGTAGTTTCCACTGTCTACTAAAGCTTAAGACAGTAAGGATGGAAATGACTGCTGCACCAAACTGTCCATCTTTATTACAGGATAGTCGAAGTTTTCAACCCTATAGAAGATTTTAATATCCCTCTCCCTTAGTTACACCTGTGCAATGTTTTCTCTGAGTGCATTGCTAGAATAAACCACATGTGTAAAGATAATATAACATAGAAAATTCAAGATGCACATTAACATATTAAGACACTGTTGAAGACGTATCCCTGACAAGCTTGTGTGTTCCATAAAGCATTTGAAGAGTCTTCTCAAAGCCAAGTACCATACATACAACACAACTAGTTCCTACACAAGAGCGTGCTGGGTTCACGACACATAAATAAGTAATTCAGACTTACTGACCTCCGTGAAAACCAAGACCTTATTTGTCTCATCTGTAAAGCGGTATGGAAGAAGAACAATGCTTGCAAACTGATCCACTTTTTTCTACAAAGAAAAAAAGAAAAACTGAAACAAATCACAACCAAACAGCGAGTCATATTAAGTAACTTTGTCCCACACGAATGCAGCCACCTGACAAAAACATGAGCACTTAGCCTATACTTACATGTAGTAAACAATCTAATAAAAAACACATGACGCACAGATTGTGACGGCTTTTGTACATCTGCTGTAGAATACAATCAAAACTTCACCAACTTAAAATGAATGAATTATTCATGCTGCTGTTTGCTCAAGAGAAAGGAGCTGGGGTCACCGGCTCCCATGTGTAGGGCTGCTACACTCAGGTGGAATCAGTAACAATCACTGAGATGCTGTAGTCACAGCTTATCAGAATTATGTTACCAATTTAGTAGACAGTGCAAAACAATCACAAGAAATGCGTCCCTTGCTAAGGCATAAGCATACCACACAGCTCCTCAAAACAGTTGCAAGAGGTCTGTATTGCTTTAAGTGTGAACTTACCTAGCTCTAAGAGCCCCCTGGTATGCTAAAGAAGATATTTTGTTAGACCCAGAAGGAAATAAACTTTTAAGAAGCCAAGCTTTTTAACTATGGAGGAAGCAGAATGTCTTAGAGTAAGGCTCAACTGGGCTAGACACCTTTGAACTGACAAAAGGGATGACCCTTAGCAGGGTTACAAGAGCACTGCACCAAGACAACACTCAGGCCAGAGTCCTAATAACCTCTTAAGCAGATGAGAAGGCAATAAACATCACATAGAAAAAAAACTGTCTATGCTTTTTCTTCATTTCTTCATCTGCACCTTTTGAAGACTTGTAAGGACACCACCCACCACCAGTGTGGTGAAGAAGGCTCACACTTACATACTCACTTAACATGACCATGTTGTTAACCCAACTGAGGAAATCAGATGGCAGCAGGGCACTCCTCTAAAAACAATAGGCTTACAACAACTTCACAGGAGTCCTAGCTCTCATGCACTTCAAGGTAACATAGGGAGTCCTTCTGCTCTGGATCCAAGTCCAGTTTGTCATACTTTGGGAGCTGGCATCATCTGTGGTCACGCAACACGAAGCCTTTTTCCAGTAATTGCTGAGGGATATCAGCAGCTCTACAAGAATGTAACAGGGCTTGTGGATGAACTCCAAGGGTTCCAAGGAAATAATCAATGAAATAAGGTTTTTTAAATAAATAAAATAGATGCTTCTGTTTCACACAGAAACACCCTCACTCCAACAGTGTCAATAAAAATATCAACCAACATGGAACAACACTTTCACAGAACATAACAAAAAAAGAAATTAAAACAGTGGGAAGCAGAGATGAGAAGAAGCCAGACTAAGACCTTGCCCTATAACAATCATTCCAGAACAAAACATGCATCTGAAGTAATAACCTAGGTGGAAAGGTCAAGTAGGTGTGAGCCTTAGTTCAACCAGTTCTGTCTGAACCTGAATTTCAGATACATAATAGCCCATCTTTGTAATTCCTGAAGATGCTCATCTTCACCCCAAGTACTTAAACTATATTAAATAAGCATACACAGAATAAAAGAATAAAGACACCTGCAAACATGAACAGCATTCCAACACTCAGCCAGAGCATCTGCAAGAGGCAGATGAGAAGACCACTAGTAACGTTTACTCTAAACTTAAAACACAGCTATTCACATTATAAAAAGATAACATAAGAATTACCAGCCACTTCCCACTTACCTTCTTCTGTAGTTCCATATCTAGGGTCACATTAATATACACAAACTGTTTTGGGTATGTGAAGTCCAGTTCCTGAAATTTCTTTAACATACCCACAGCTTCTTCTACATGGTAGGACGGTCGCTCGTAGTACCACGTCAAGTACACATCATCCACAGGCTTGCTCAGCAACAGCCGCCTGCCACGTCCTTTTTTCTTCTGGGCTTCTTCCTTCTTGGCCTTTTGCGAGCCTCTTTTTGTATTTCTGAAGCATGCAATGCAAAAAAACAAACAATAAAAACCCAACCACCACCAACCATAGAGCGTTATGTATTTTAAGAGAAAGAAATAGATACTGTTAAGTATCAGTTAATCCGCAAAGAGTTACAAAGGTAGGTTCTACACATAACAAGCAGCGTCCCTAAATTCACTCTAATTACTTGCCTCCAATGGCCAAGCCAGAAAACAAACGAGCCCCAATCCTTATATAATCCTGCCTGACTTATTAGGCTCTCAAATCATCGAGAAAAATACTTCAGGCAGAGAAAGACACTATTTCTCTAACAATAAGAATGCAAAAGGTAAGAAATTAACTGCTCTTCAGAGCTCTCAGTATATTGTGCACTCCACTGTTCTGTACACTGAGCTAATTTTTTCCCCTTTTCTACTTAGGCAGTAGTATCAGACTTAAAGAAACATCGAACTAAAAAACGTCAGAATCTGAAGGACGAGACGTGAGAGGAGCAGCTGAGGCACCTCGGTTCGCTCAGCTCAGACAAAAGGAGGCCGAGGGATGCCTCGCGGCGGCCTCCAGCTCCTCGCAGGTAGCGGAGGGCAGCGCCTACAGCCCCCAGCACGCACTCACTTGGCGGCGGCGGCGGCGGCGTAGAGGCGGGCAAGCGGCGCGGCGCTCAGCGGAGCGGCAGCGGGACACTGCTGGAGCCCGGGCAAGGCCCACCGGCGGCACGGGGTCAGCACTGCGGAGAAAAGCACGCACGGCTTCAGACGGGCGCCCGGCCCCGCGGGTAGCCCTCCCGCCTCCCTTCCCCGCTCCTCCCGGCCCCGATGCCCGCGGCCGAGCGCCTTCACCTCGCCGCAGTAACAAGCCCACGGACGCCGCCATCTTGCGCAGCCGCCGCGGTGCAACGCAAAAGACGTCCGCCGGACGCCGCGCCTGCCGGGCCCCGGCTGAAAGCCGCTGCGCGCACCTGGGGGCCGCGGCGCAGCTGCTTGACGTTTATATTTCCTGCTCCGTTCCTAAATACGGCAGGAGCCTCTTGGACTACAATTGTTATTTTTAAATTGGTGTAGGATTCTTTTTTATGGGCATTAAGCAACTATGTATATACTAAAGCTGTGGCAAATATAATGCAAGACCTACCACGAGTGCTTAACGTGTGCCTATGATGGGCTAATAACCTGCATCCTCCATCCTGTTCCTCAAAAACTTCTGAACCCACTCTGAGCTCCCCATTTGTCAGCATGTCGCTGCTTCAGACCATGCATTTTGGCCCTATGCGGGATGTGCTGGCTCAGAGATCAGTTGTTAATAATCCTGTATTACAGCACAGCGAGGAATCAAGATGTAACGAATGTATTCTGCAGAGGAAGCAGGGCCTTGGGGAGGCTGCAATGTACCATACAAGTGCCTAGCAAGGCCCCAGGGATGCTGGTCTTGCCAGCAGTGACCTCAGGCAGGCCACTCGCAGAACCTGGATTCTCAGTTACGCTACCTTTTGAGAAGGGAGGGAAACAATACCTGAGGTGAGGGTGGCGAGGCCGTGGCCTGTAATGGGAGCCGGGAGATGTACAGAATGATTAACCTTGGCAACGGGAGAAGGGAGGGCACAATCCTCCTTCACTGATCCATTTGGTGGTTGTTATTTTTTTTTTTTTTTCTGGAGAGGAAATGACCAGAACAGATAAAGGCACTCTCCTATCAAAGAAGTCAGTGCCAATGCCTTTCCAAGGCAGCACGTGACTTTTCTCCTACAAAAATACATCCCAGTAAAGATTTTTTTCTTTCTTTTTCTCTCACTCTGCCCTCCTCTGTGCATGTGTGCACCCACTCCCAACCACTCATTTACACTGGAGATCATTAGCTGTCTGAACTCTGCTCTACCATGGAGGCTCCTTCTGTGCTCCTCATTCTCTGAGCACATACGAGCATCTCTGGTCCCACAGGTGAACGCATCACAACCAGCACTTTTCTCTGCCCTTGCTTATTTTTTTTTTTAAATTTTCCCCTTTTATAATACGCTTTCCCTCTCTCTACACCCACATATTTTCTTTTAGAACTTAGGAACAGTTCCCCGCAGGAAGGCCATCTCCACGTCTGGCATGCCCAGCTGGAGAACACCTCGCTCCGACTCTGGCACGGGTCTGCGGAGAGACGGCGCGGGTTTCGCAGCAGGGGGACACCTCCCGCGGAGAAAGAGCCGATGGCAGACAAGACCTACGCCCCCACAGGCTCACGCTCAGCGCGGGGCCCCGTCACCCCGACACCTGAGTCACTTCCTCAGCCCGCCTGCGACCGCCGGAGGCCTTTCGCGGGGCGACCTGCTCCTCACGTACGCCCTGTCAGACGCCTCTCTCTGTAATTAACGGCAATTAGCCACGGAGGGCTCTTTTCCCTCCCTAGGATCGGGGCACCACTGGCGTCCCCAGGAGCCGCCGCCGCCCCGCAGGGCCCGCCGGGGGCTCCCCGCCACCGCCCCGGGGTCTCGGCGCCGCCCCGGGGGCCCTGCGCCGCCCGCCCCGCTCCTGTCGCCTCCTCCTCCCGTCCCCACCTCCCGCTCCCCCGCCCTCCGCGCCGCCCGAGCCCCGGCCCGCTCCTCCCCGCCGCCGCCGCC